GGTAGTTTTTAACGTCCTCTTATTCTCTTGTATAAATGATAGTCACGCAAACATACTAGATCTGACTTTAAACTCTTTAAGCTTTAACTGTGTATAGAATAGTACTGATTTCCAAAGTGGGTAGGTTGTTAATGTCCTCTTATTCTCTTGTGTTTTGATACGCAAACAAACATACTAGACCTCTGTATACAGTCTAAATTGAAAATATGTATAGAATAGTTACTGAGTTACAAAATGGGTAGGTACCTAGTTTAAATGTCCTCTTATTATCTTGTATAATGATAGCCAGGTAAACATACTAGACCTCACTTTAAAGACTAAAAATTGTAAATATGTATAGAATCACAAAATAGGTAGTTTTAATGTAATCTTATTCTCTTGTATAAATGAATGCCAGCCAAATATACTAGACATCACTTTAAGAAGTAAAAATTGTAAATATGTGCAAAATCACAAATTAAGTAGGTAGTTTTTAATGTCCTCTTTTTCTCTTGTATTAATGATAGCTAGGCAAACATACAAGACCAGATTTTCAAGTCTAAATTGTAAATATGTATAGAATAATTACTGAGGCACGACGTAAGTAGATAGTTTTTAACGTCCTCTCATTCTGTTATATAAATGATGATGGCCTGGCAAATATACTAGACCTCACTTTTAAGTTTAAAAATTGTCAATATGTATAGAATCAAAAAAGAAGTAGGTAATTTTAATGTCCTCTTATTCTCTCGTATTAATGATACCTAGGCAAACATACAAGACCAGACTTTCATGTCTACATTGTAAATATTATATAGAATAGTTACGAGGTGGGTAGGTAGTTTTTGATGTCCTTTTATTCTCTTGTGCTTTTCATATTCCGACAAACATACTAGAACTTAGTCCAGTTTGCAAATATGATTAAATTATACATATGCATATACGTGTAAGCATTTCTGTATACTTTGGGCTTTTTTTTTTAATAACGCGCACACTCAACATAGCCCTGCACTAGGGAAACCCTTTGTCGCGGGAGCCATGGACACACACATAGACAACCACATTTACACCCACACTCCGAGAGAAATGAATGTAGGCCATACAAATGTTTGCCCGGCCCGGGAATCGAACCTGAGACTTCTGCGTGGCAGTCCGGCTTGGTAACCGTTCGGCCACGGAGGCAGTTATTGCTTTTGGATAAGAGTAGTGTAGTAGTGTCCCATATTATATGCGGGCGGAGCTATATCCAAGTAGTGGTTGAGTCGCACGGAACAGCGCGGAAATTGTACATTATCGTATGTACTAGGTGGGGCGCTGTTCCCCCTCATCAGAGGGGCCATTTCATTGGTACACGTACACATTTTAGCCGTAGAAATTGGTATTATTAAAATATAAAGATTGTTACTTAAGTTCGGTATAAGATATATTAATGTATAAGTATCTGTGTATTAAATAAATAAATAAAAGTCATTCTTACTCATTTTAATCCCCATTCCTAAAATTTTTGTATCTCCAGAACCTGAGCGTACAAAATCCGGAAAAATATTCTATACTTTAATCGTATGGCACAGCTCTAACACCGGTTTTATCGATTAGAGGGCGTCCCTATTTTACTACAATACTACACATAACTATATGAAAGGTGTAAAAGGAACAAAAGAGTTGATAATGAACAAATTTCAAAGTGCAAGTGAGATATTGCATAAATTTATCAATGAATATCTATAGCACATTCCTCGCCGCCTCCGCGTCGCATCATACCCCACTACTATGACATTGTCTTTCCAAAGACTTAACCGTCTGTCTTGTATTTTTAGTTTGTGGCTCTGGACCTTTTGGAGGGAAAAGTGTCGTTTTTATTTTGACTTTCAATTATTTTGTGAAATCTAGTTTAAAGCGGAATAGGATAGTGCTATTGTGCCTTAATCGAAGATTAAAACGCGAAATTATACGAATCTCGAACTAAAATACCCGTATCGGCCCGTTCTAAGGAATCCCGAGTCAATCCAAACACGCCACCTCAAATTGCCTATCCTCTTTGTGGCGGCCATATTTACAGAAACATAATCAACTTCATGTACCAAAAAAGAATAATGTACTAAGACTTGGCTGTATGGTGTAAAACCTTTGCCTTTTCCTTTATGGAAAGAAGAAAAAAAAAATTAATAGTTACGACTAGACATAATAAAATTGATGTTTCAAGTTTCAACGAAATTTGCTTTTAAAACATTTCCATGGAAAATTTTTCTCGAGTGGAAAAAATTGGCGAAGGCACATACGGTGTAGTGTACAAAGCTCGTGATAGAATAACTGGCAAACAAATTGCTTTGAAGAAAATTAAACTCGAGAAGTAAGTTTTGGCGCGAAAACTGACATGTTCATCAGATTACCTCTAACACAACGACAATGAATGTTTTCAAAGTGGCCGCATATTATTGCAGGGATTGAATATAATGTTTTATTGCTATCAGTATCTAAGTTATATTTGAGAAATACTTTATGTTTGTTGTGTTTGCTATCTATTTGCGCTTACGATTTTAGATAGACGGTCGAGGACGTATTTATAGCCACAAAAATGTTTCTGCTCTTGACACTGAGCATGGTACCGGTATTGTGTGGTGTTGCAGTGAGCCTGAGGGCGTGCCGTCGACAGCGCTACGTGAGATTTCAGTGCTGCGCGGGCTGCGACACCCTGGCGTGGTGCGGCTGCTGAATGTGGTGCTCGCCGACACCAAGCTTTTCCTCGTGTTCGAGTTCCTGCACATGGATCTCAAGCGACTAATGGACCTGACCAAGGGCCCCTTACGCCTCGATCTCGTTAAGGTGGCTCCTACATAGTTGAATAGAAAGAAGTTTGAAGGGTGTATTTTATTTAAATGACTTACTTTTGGGAAACCATTATTTTAGCAACATTTTAAACATTAGTTACATCACTGAGAGTGGACTAATGTTGTTTTATGGTTATGTTGGTTGGAGTAGTTATGTCACTTACAGGCCTGGAAGTGAAGATCAAATTGAAATGAGGAGGCAGGGTTGAATGTTTCTGATCGATTTAATTCTCTTCATTGGGGTCTGGAAATTGGTGGTTCTGAAGTTATTCATTTATTTGTATCTTTCGGAAAACATCTTTAAGTGCACCCCAAAACAACCCACATATTTAAATTGTAATTTAAAGGAATTTTATGTCTTTATTCACATTTGTGCATTTTTATTAGTATACACCTTATATATAGTATATACCTTTTCAATAGATTTTTTCTGAACTCTTCATGAAAAGTGCTAGCATAATATGACAATTGCAATTAGGACTTTATTTTACAATTGTCTTTCTTTTCAATCATGCAGACCATCTGGCAGCAATCTGAATAGTCAATGCATTAAACATTTCCCAAACCCTCCTATTGATTTCTTTTGTGTGTTTATTTTAAAAAGATGCAGACTCTGTACATGAACTTATTGCAGATATTTTAAAACTATAAAATTAATAACGGAACTTTTTTCTTTTTTTGTTTAGTTTCAATAGTAACTAAAGTAACAATCAGCATTAAGAAAGTTTTCTATGAAAGTGATCTTTATTACAAAAAATATTTAACCTCGGAAAAAAAAGTCATGTGTACCTTTCTGCCACTGAAACATATTCACTAATACATATTATTTTGGGGAGCATCTCTGAAAATTATGTCTTGTTTTTTGTGAAGATAATATAATTGTTCACTTAAGTTCTAATCGCTATTAACATACTATTTTCACAAAATATGCATTTTATGAAATTAGTACTATTGGAAACATACTGTTAGCCAGGAATCTTGGACAAATGATGAATAAATACCTTATGGATATTCATATCTGATTTTTGGCGGTGTGCTTAGCAATTTTTCCAAACCCCACATTTTTTGGTGAGTTTGATCAGAATTAGTCAACTGCACCTCCTCGTTTCATTTTGACCATAACTTCTGGGCCATCCTCTGTTTTGTTATTTTACCAACATGCAATACTTCTTATATACAACCAAAAATATATAATTCCAATTAATGTGGTATGTAAGGCAGTGTTGGATTACTTTTATGTGGACAAATGTTCACCTCGGACAGTTGAATCTGTGTATGTTTAGGCTTCAATTCTTCAAACTGTGGTTGTTTGGACAATGCAGTTGCCAGTTTGAGCATCGATTCTTTCTCTACATTATAGAATTTGGTTAGCCTGTTAGTCAAAACTCAGTTAAAAAGATTTTGGTTTGTATCTAGTTTGTATGTTACACATTTGACCATAAAGTTAATTATGCTATGTGCACAATATCGTTACAAAAATTCGCTTCCAGTCCGTTCCGCCGCAATATAAATTGAGCCTTAGCCGCTGTGAAATTCCACGTGCTATTACAATGTCGCGTTCTTTTTTTAGGGGAATTGCAATGTGGCTGAACATGAGGTAGCCGTATTAGAAAACAGCGCAGTTTTGGAAAGCGGCTAGCCGTAATGTTATACGGCGCTTTATAGAATGCGGTTGCGACATATAGATCTTTTAATTTATCCTGTAATGTTATCATAATGTTCTATTGCGACTAGTATGCTCGATTTCTAGGGTACCTTTTGATTCTAATTAATGCGGTAATGCACACATCTTTCTCATACAACGTACGCCCCAACTGGAATTATATACTGAATATTTGTCTTCGTCACAAAGCAGTACCATAGTAGCGGCTTTTGTCGCCATCGTGCAAAGTCAAAGTTAAAGATTATTTATTCCATAGGTAAAATAAATTTACACTTGGAAACGTCACATTTAAGCTACTGCTCGTTCACTACTCTGACCTCCCTGAGAAGAACGAGCAAGAAACTCTAGGGATTGCTCTTTTCAAAAAAACTTAAACGCTATGGAATACACTTTGAATCAAATTTGTGTGGATTCTGGAGCCGTGTCGTCTTCCCATACATCTTTATCTAACACGTAGTCTTCAATTTTGTAATATGATTTCTCGATCAATATATTTTTAATGTAGTTTTTGAACTTAGGAAATGATAAACTTAATATATGCTCTGGAATCTTATTGTAAGAACGTATACAGTTGCCCATAAAAAAGTTGTTTACCTTGGTTAAACGAAATCGTGGTACCATAAGTTTGGACTTGGCTCTAAGGTTAATATTATGGATATCTTCTTTCTTATTGAAATTATGTATATTTTTACGGGCATATAAAATATTTGAGTTAATGTACTGTGATGCCACAGTCATGATACCAGTCTCCTTAAACTTTTCTCTGAGAGAAACCCGAGAGCCTAGACGGTACACAGAACGAATCGCTCGTTTTTGCAATACAAATATGGTTTGAATATCTGCCGCTTTACCCCACATGAGAATCCCGTAGGACATTATACTATGGAAGTAACTAAAGTAAACTAGTTCAGCAGTACTAACATCGGTAAGCTCACGTATTCTGCGGACTGCGTATGCAGCAGAGCTTAATCTGCTGGCCAGGGAAGATATATGTGGAAACCATTGAAGTTTACTATCTAAGGTCACTCCCAAGAAGATTGCTTTATTAACAAGGTCTAACTTTTCTCCGTTTTTTTCTATGCTTGGACTAGTCGATTTTACGTTAGGTAATTCAAATTTAACACATTTTGTCTTCTTTGCATTAAGCAATAAATTGTAAGCAAAAATACCAATAGACTACCTTAGAAAGGGTATCATTAATATGGTCATAGTTAATGACATGTCTGTCTGTTTTAAAAATCAAGGATGTGTCATCAGCAAACAACACTATTTCGCAATGGTCCTTAACAAAGAATGGCATATCAGAAATAAGAAAGGTCCAAGTATTGAGCCCTGCGGAACACCCATTTTTGCCGGAGAACCCAAAGAAGTCACTCCATTTATGTCTACTTTCTGAATTCTACCATTGAGATATGACGAGACAAGTTTCGACGCCTTGCCATTTACACCGTAATGTTCCAGCTTTCTAATAAGAGTAATATGATCAACGCAATCAAATGCCTTTGAGAGGTCACAGAAAACACTAATAACGTTCTGGGACCTTTCCCAAGCATCAAAGATGTGTTTTAGTAACGCTACCCCCGCATCGCTAGTTGATCTACCACTAGTAAACCGGTATTGTTCACTATGAAAAATATGATTCCTACCGAAATAGGACAGTCATTGAGTTAGCATAACCTTTTCGAATATTTTACTTAAAGCTGCTAAAATTGAAATGGGCCTATAGTTGCTAGGATCAACTTTCCTACCGCTTTTGAATAAGGGAATAACCTTGCTGTATTTCATTAAATCTGGAAAAACACCTTTGTCAACGCACCTATTGCTAAAGCTATAGCTAAATGTGGGGAAATTAGATCAGTAATTGAGTCCATAACTTTAGTTGATATGCCCCAGAGATCTTCAGTTTTTTTTAACATGTATTGATTTAAAAGCTTTTATGATATCTTGTGGATTGACATGACGGAAATTAAATATACTGCCACAAACGTTAACATTTTCCTTTAGGAGATCAATAGCAAGTGAAGGGGAGGAATTGAATGATTCTGTAGTGTTCACAGCAATTTCCGAAAAGAACGATTTAAAAGCTTGGGCTACTTTATCTTTAGATTTTATAAGTTTGCTGTCTAATTCTAAAACCATGTCTCTATCGTGTTGTTTAACCCTGACTGACTCTTTATTTATAATGCTCCAAGTAGTTTTAGATTTATTTATCGATTGTCTAATTTTGTCGCTGTGAAACTTAACCTTCGCAGCTACACATACTTTTTAAAATATTTTTGAATTAATTCTAACATATTCTATGAAATTGGAATTAGTATTATAAGTTTTCATAGCATATAGCTCATACAAACGAGACCTACTCTTATGAATACCTATTGTTGCCCAGTTGTTGAATTCTGTCTCTTTATGGAAAGTTAATGTTTCCGATTTAAATATATTATCAAATTCATTTTTAATTAAACCAAATATCGTGCTATATAAAGTATTTGGAACCTCCGGTATATGGAGTAGGGAATTTAAACTATTGCCGATATTATTTTGAAATCTAATTATTCGTTCTGTGGTAATCGGTCTGCAGAGAAATTGGTCTACCTTCTTGCTCATTTTACAATTAAAAGAAGCCAATTGGCCACTATGGTCGGATGTTAACCAATTTATTATTATATTTAGACACTGCGTCTGCGTTACAAAAGATGTTATCAATACAAGTAGAAGAGGAGGCAGTAATGCGAGTTGGTTCTAAGAGAAGATTAATAAAGTTAAAACTTAAATAAATTAATGAGTCTTACAGAAGTAGAACAGTTTTCCAACAGGTTTAGGTCTGAAATCTCCACATATTACTACGTTTTTTGTGGTTGGAAAAATCCGCTTTAAACTGTCTTCCATAATTAATTCAAACTCGTTAAAATTAGCAGAGGGGGGCCTGTATACACATAAGACGACAAACTGATCCAATTCCACACATGAAATCTCAATAGTTAGGTAGTTCAGTAGATAGATTTGTGATATCCTTACGCTCTTTAAATTTTAAGTTCGTTTAATAATAATCATGGATCTGCCTCTACTTAAGCTCTTTCTTATGAACGACCTGACTATTACATAATTTTCTATGTTGTTAATTGCTTCGTAGTCTTTCAGCCAGTGTTCTGTAACACAAAACACGTCAACGGAAATATCGTGCAAAAAAGACTTATTTCTAATGTTTTGCCAGAAACGCCTTGAATATTTTGATGTACTACATGGAAACGATTAGACTTTTCTGTTGTCGTGTTTTTCAGTTTAAATTATGGTTAGTAAAAAGTATACTGTTGCTACTTAAAGTAGGAGCATTGTCGTGGGACTGTGTTATATGTTCTATAACAGCGTCTTTAATATTAAAAGATAGCAAACTAGCTATATGTCTCAGATACCTTATGGGTGAAAGTAAATTATCCTCAAAAAGTTTGAAGTTCCTTACGAACTTATTAATGTCAAAACAAAATATAACGTCACTATGACGGCAAGTCAAATTATGAATGTGCGAATTTATGTTATATATATACTTATTACGAGCGATGCCTAGGTTAGAGCAGTAAGCGAATGCACTTAGTATGAATTTACACCCACACTTTTCATGAATTCTCAAGAACACGTCAATGCTACTATTTACTTCTTTTTTACTAATGTTAATACTATCACCTATTATAAGAATCACTGTTGTATATTTATCAAAGTTGCAACCACTTAACAGTGTAGTAATTTGACTAAAAGTAGCTCCTGGATAGCAATAGTTGACTACCCTTTGTTTTAAGTGGTTACTTAGGTGGTGGCCTAGTCCTACACCTATTTTATCAGAAAAAGCTACCTTTCTTCTGGATGGCCGGTTGGAGTTCTAATAGTCTTGGTTGACCGTTGACTGTGT